AAATGGGCCCAGTGCCCGAGACTGATATTACCAATGAGGATTTGTGCCAAAGTGCATATATCATAGTCGTGCGACCCATCTCAAAGAAACTATGCTGGAAGTTGGACGAAATCCCAAAAGAGTGACTTGTTATTCCCAAGGCTAATCAATCCTTGTTAACTCCCTCCAAATGCAGTCCCGTCTTTTCCATAACAAGACTGAACCCGCACATTGCATAAGAACTTGTTCTATAGTTTCTCTAAATTTCCTACTAGAACTGACATTTCGTTAAAACTAATATTTTTTTCTAAATTCACGAAATTTAGCGTGACAAAAACCAACATTTTTTAGTGTTTTTTTGTTCCGATGACATCAGATGATCAGATCATCGGGTGTCGTGGCAACTCCCGATGATCTGATCATCACATGTATGTTAACGGTACTTTATGTTGAGGTACATCAGATGGACAAAGTGGGATAACCACTTTCTCACCCAATGAGCAATGAAATTTTGACTAAGTCCACTTTCGTGAATTTAGAAAAAAATGTTAGTTTTAACGAAATGTCAGTTATAAGGAAAGCCAAAACACAGGATTTACACATCGGATAGATGACGGTCTTCTTTGCTCCAGGTTAGTTCGGTCAATTAACCAATCATTGGTCGGTAGACACCGGTGAGCTATTTGTCATTGCAAACAGACAAACTTTGCTTACCTCGCGAACAAAGTGTTTGTACCGAAGTGTCTGTATCATAGTCTTGCGGCCCATCTCAAAGAAGTTATGCTGGAAATTGGACATATCTCATAAGAATGACTTGTCACTCCCAAGGCTAATCAATCCTTGTTAACTCCCTCCAAATGTAGTAACATTTTTTCCCTAACAAGACTGAACCCGCACATTGCGTAAGAATTTGTTCTATAGTTTTTCTAAGTTTCCTACTACGGAAAGCCAAAAGACAGGATTTACACACCAGGGAGATGACGGTCCTCTTTGCTCTAGGGTAGTTCGGTCAATTAACCAATTCTTAGTCGGTAGACACCAGTGAGCTATTTGTCATTGCAAACATACAAACTTTGTTGACCGATGCTTAAGGGTCGTAAAAAAGTTAATGTGTTTTCCCAGATTCATATCATCGAGATGCCTAACCCATCTATCTTGTACAATCGAGACAAGATCTACCCTTGGACGAAGCAGCCAGTATGTTGCCTTGACAAAGAGAGAATGCAAGTACTGAGGTTTCTCCATCTTACTATTTTGCCATGCCCACTCAACTCGGTCTAAAGGTAAATCATAAATGAGGATCTCTGGATGAAAAACCTTCTATCTAAAGCCAAAAAATGATTCCTTGTTTATTCGGTGGACAGTCGCCAAGGCTCCATCGCAAACTAAGTGAATGATTTGTCCCACCTCCATATTCTCATTAGGTTGGAAGCCTACCACCCAATCTCCTTCTTGAAAAAACTATGTATTTTCTTAGGGTACGCATCCAAGACAAAGGAATTGAAAAATTAATTTGATCCAATCTTTCGGAGAGCTGATGTGTATATCTGAACTCCTTTTTCAGTTGATCTACCGATTTTCAATCTTTTTTTGTTATGTCCCACAGGTACTTGATTCTCATCACTCCCTTTTTTACCCATTGCAACCAAGGTGGAATATAACTATTGAAAAAACACCCATCATTGTCAGTAATTCGGTAATTTCCAAAAAAACTTTAAAAAAGGCTGGCGCATAATTTCCTCAAACTGAGATGGGAACACCTTGTTGGACGATGGTAATTGACGTCAGGTTTTCAATAAATGAACCCAAAAATTGTCTAGAGATAGATCATTTCTGGCTGCCCCTCTAATCCTCCCTTCCCTATATTGGGTTTGCACTCTAAAGATAGTCCCATATCTGTTTTCTATCCAGATGAGGGGATGTGTTTCCTTTGTTGATTGAGGGACCAACCTTCTAATTTGTTTCAAAGCTAGGACTTGCCAGGGTATATCATTCTTTAAAATTAAAATTTTAATTTATTGCAAAGAGAAAGTCTTGCTTTGAAGTTTGAAGTGTGGGATCTAGCACCCCTAGACCCCTTATTGCCTTGGGTTGAATGATGGAGGGTTATGCTACCCTTGGAATAACCCTCTCCTGTTCGTGGTTACCCCTCCACAAAGAGGCGAATACTTGTCTCTGAAATTTTTTTGTGTGTGTTTGACTTATGGACCATATTGCTGATTTATACCTGATTGAGGCTACCGTCTTCACTCAAAAATAACGTCTGGGCGTTGTATACGAATAAAACGTCTGTCGAAAATTATATTCGTTTATTACACCCGGACGTTATATTTAGTAAATTGGTGGCAACTTCGGTGGGGGTCCAAAATTCCGAAAAACAAAATTTTTAAAAAATTATGTAGAAAAAATATGTTGTCCAGGAATTGCAATGTGACCATCTTTTGGCTGAGGGTCAATACAGAATTTCTTATAAACTCGAAATTGAAAAAAAAAAAAAAAAAAAAACCCGAAATATGCCACTTGGAAGTCAAAACCCCTTCCAACCCCCTTTAAAACTCATATATATCCCCCTCCCCGCCCTTTCAAACCCATGTATACTACGTCTACAAGGCACTCTGCCTATGGAACATTCAAATATAATGTCCGGGCGTTCTATTCGAATATAATGTCCGAGCGTATATTTTAAGGGGCGTTCTATTCGAGAAAAAGATAGTAAAAACAAAAATCTGATTTTTTTAGGGTAAGTTAAATATAACGCCTGGGCGTTATTTTTGGGTGAAGACGGTAGGATAACGTTATTAATAATCAGAGCCCTACTGAAGATTTAGGTACATTGATCCTTCTTTTGATTCATTTCTCCAACTGTCGGGCCAAATATCGAATCATCATTAATTGTTGGCTTACCTTTTGCAGTGAGAGAGACTCCCAAGACTCTAATAGGGGCATCTAGTGGTACCCATTTTACGCTCAGCAATTTTGATGGACGATCTCCATTGGAATGAATCCACCATCCCTGTGTTTTATTCCCCTAATTGACCACCATATCTGAAATTAGAGAAAAACGGTCCATTAAGGATTTAATCTCATCCATGTTCGATTCTGAGGCCTCCATCATTATAGTAAGGTCATCTGCAAACATTGAACTAATGGGAATTGCCTCTTCGGGAATACTATAAGCTTGTAGTTTTTTTCAATTACGATTTGGTCTAAGATTAACACTTAGCGCCTCCATAATGATCAGAAAGAGGAAAGGAGCTAAAGGATCCCCTTGTCTAACTGACCTTTTAAGGTGTATTTCTGGTGAAAGAAGGTCATTGACTTGAACCCTAGTTGTGGCATTTGCATGGAGAATACACAACCATTGTCTTAGGTTAGATCCAAAATTCATTTTTTGAAGACAAGCATCGACAAAGCGCCAATCAACATGGTTATAGGCTTTTTCAAAGTGTTTGAAAACAAAGGCTGCATTAAGTCTGGATTGACGCGTGAGTTGGACCATCTCATTAATCAGGAGAATATTATCCCGGATATGTCGTCCATTAATGAACCCTATTTGAGATGGGTGAACAATGTTTCACATCATCGAGATAAGACGATTGCCCAAGGCTTTGGCTAATAATTTATAGACTACCGTAAGTTAGGTAAAGGCAGCGGAAACCTGACGTAGAGTAGGCGTCGGATTCATTTTTGTTTTGCGGAGTTTCTGCATTTAATTTATGAATAGGAATGAGTAGCATGTTTGCCCTTAAGTCCCAGGGCAGGATTTTGCGGATGTCCTGCCTCTCCTTAATCCTCAGATTTATGCAATTTTGCAAATATCCCCATCGGCCGGTGTTTCCAAAAAGACCCTCGGGACCAAGGCGACAACCCCAGTTTCGCTGTCGCATACTATAACGGTGCAGACCAGAACAAGAACCGACCTCTCAATACAAAATACAAGATAGCACAGCGGAAGACTTAGATACCAATGATCCGAACAATCAATATTGCAATGCAGCCCTGAACATACATCATCATCATCGTTACATGGTGTGAATGGGGTCTGGCGCTTCACACAGGAAGACTGCGCCAGCCCCTACCATACACAGATGAAGAAGAAGGGGTTTAAACGAAGAGGAGGGGAAGATGGGAATGTCGTAAACACCAAGTCTTCGACACAGGCTCAAATAGTTCCTCGTCGAAATGTCTGAATCCCAAATGTCAAGTCTGGATCCGATGTCGTCAAGTCCCAAGTCACAACTCTCTCTCTGTAGTAGTCCGCTGATACTGAGAAGTCAGGTGGTGAGAGGGGAAGAAGAGATGGTGGACTTAGAAGA